AACGACGCTTCTTCAATTCGCATGAATAGGACTTTCGTTGTGAGATGCGCAACACCTGTTTTTCCGCACATTTGAAAATCACAAACGTGTCTTTTCGGGACCACGCGATTTTTCACCTATTCTTCATTGGTTTCGATCGACGATTACAATCCTGCAAATGTTATAATTGTCATGCCTAAGTTGAACTTTAAATGTAATAGTGAAAGAAAGATTAGTCAAAACTTTACAGCTTCACGGAAAGAACGGTTTTGCTGAAATATCAAAGAATTTTAGATTAGCTAGATATATTGATATATTCGATAATTATAGATATATATAACAATAGATTCGAAAATAATTTTGTGAGCTATCGAAATATAATAATTATAGTAGAACGCTTAAACTAGTTGCTAGAATGTCAAAATTTTTTGCAGTATTGCTAATCATTAGGGCAACCAAAATATGTATAGGGCATCTTTTTTTTTATTTGACTAATAAAGAAATAAACTAAATATAAATTTGTTTCATAAGAAATTATGCATTTTGAGCCATATATGTTATGGCATATTTTTGCATATTTCACACATAAGAGCATATTTTTGCATATTTCGCCCACACATGCACAGCATTTACATATTTTATCTATTTTTATTGTATATTTCACATCGTTTTCTAATTTAAGTTTATGATTACGTTATTATAAGTAAAGAACTTCATTAATATTTTGAAAATTTGTACGATAAAAAATAATTTTTAAATGCATATATTCCTTTCTTTAGAGCATTTTTTCAATTTCACAGAGAATATTTTAGGCGCTTAAAAAGGGATTTTTACAGCATAATTTTGGTTGTCCTACTAATCATATTTAATATTTCTAATACTTAATTATTTTGATGGTCCAATAAAATTATTTTCAGATCTGTATCTAGCTAAATTTTTAGATGCTTCAGTAAAATCGTTTTTTTCGCGTTACATAAAAATGAATGGACATCTATCTGCTTCCTCGTTGCGTAATCGAGTCTCAGAAAACAGATTCAAGGAATAAGATCGATCAACAGAAACCGCCATACGTGTCTTAATAATGTTCAAACGAATAACGCTTCATTATCACTCGATTTATGTTATTCGATCCTTTTTTTTATTAGCCTACGACGGCGTAATAAAGCTTGTGATTGCGACGATCAACAGGATGATACGCGACTTCCAGGAACGACTCTATCTGGGCAATCCCAGATTTCGCAATGTTGCCTCAGTGGACAGCTCCTTTCGGGAGACCGGCCGAAAACTAGGCGAGAAAACAAGCGGAACGGAAGACGTGACTCAAAATTACGACGGAGCACGCAATTGTCCCATTCGCAGTCGTGACCTCAGCGTTTCGCAATGACCTTACTCCCGTAAAATCCTGGAAACCTCGCGCATTTACTTTTTACATAATTGCACCGTGTAATAACGGTCTCGCCGAGCGAGAGAGAGGAAAAAGCACGTCTGTTCCGCGTCTCTCCCTCCTCCCCGACAGCGAAAGGAGGGAAGAAATTAGAATTTACAATTAGCGCAAACGCGTTTCCTAATACACGCGCCTTATTGAGAGCGTGAGAAACCGAACGGTCCGTGATTTTTTATTGGTACTACTTGTTTTTACCTGCAAGTCGCATTTATTTAGTCAATCTCCACGACGGCGACCGCCACCGCTCAAATCATTAACAGATTAATTGCCTTATCGAGCGACTTTTATATCGTGCACCTCCGTGACAGTTTTTTAACAATGACTGAATGTTTTCAAGAATAAATAGCGTATATTTTTGTCATTAGAAAAGTATACAGATAAAAGAAGATAAAATATTGTGAAATAAGCGGTAAAAAAGGGGAAGAAGATCTTCAGGTCGATCAAGATTCAAAACCTATTTCGGGTATGTAATGAGTCAGCCTGAGAAATACCGACTCCACCTTATTATGCAGGTAAAGATTAGCAGACCCTAGGACAAGAATTTCTTGGCTGAAAAATCTTCATGCAGTGGTTCGGACTATTATTATCGTTAGGGTTGTTCCGAGCTACCATCAAAAAAGGAGTCATCGCGAATGACATAAACGTTCGGTATGCACTGAAAAAAATTTACTTTATCTTCATAAATATTTTTTTGAATATTTGTAAGTATATTTATCTGATACAAGAACCATTAATTTGATTTAACTATTATTTTTTTCATTGAGTAAATATTTATTTATTGTAAGTAAATATTTACTTACAAATATTTAAGAAATATTTATTAAGATGTAATAAATTTTTTCAGTGTGGCACAAGAAGAAAAAGAAACGATAAACGGATCAAGTTTTAATTTTTTTAAATAATTCAATTTAATGACTTCTTTAATTTATTCTCTTTGCGATTCTCTAGCTTAGAGTTTTACTTCTTACGAGAGTGAAACGATTAATACAGTAGATACATTTTTATCGATTCACCGGTATTTCGGAGCAAACCGTACATTGTTTCTCTTCCGCATTTTTATTTCTTTCACAGAGGAAGCACTGCATGTTCGCGAATGAAGTCGCCAAGGTGTAAATCAACTCCCTCCCTCGTATATTGTAACGGCGGTTTCCGGGCTGCCATCCGTTTTGCAGAGAAAGCGGATCGTCCTGGTGTACCTCGATACTTGACATCCGCTCTTGGAGGCCGCTTCCGGTGCGCAACGTGCGGTTTCCGGCGCACGTACAATATCGGCTACGCGGCTTGGTATATCGATAGTTACTATAGTCAGTAAGAACGAGGCTCTCGCGAGCGCCGGTCGATTCGCCGCGGCACTCCCGGTTTACTTTCAAACCGAGAACAAAGACGCGAAACTTTCGAGCTGTCAAGATTCCTTCAAAATTTATTAAATTTGTTAATAGATACTATCGATTGTATATCGTATGTTATTCGCGTATGAGTGATCGATCAAAAGTTTGTGAAAAATTATAATAATGGTAATGATACATGGAAAGATTTTGCTGAAACATTTAAAATTTTGCTGGATACAGATTTGAAAATAATTTTGTTGGACCATCAAAATAATTATATTGGAAACTAAAAAACGATAAGAGCAATAATGCTGCAAAACATTTTTGATAGTTTATCAGTTTGAGTTTTCAACAAAATTATTTTAATAGTCAACAAAATTATTTTTAAATCTGTATCCAGTAAAATTTCAGATCTTTCAGCAAAATTATTCTTTTTATATTCGATGCCTTTTCTTTCATAAAGATCCTTCGAGTGAATTATAAAAATGAGATGACTATCTGATTATCTTGACAAAAATTGGATTTTTCGAGGATTTTCCCTTACTGATATCAGCTGATGCGATTCCATTCTCACCGATCGGATCGTCTGGAAACGTCCTGGCATCCCTGCATTCCAGATCGGCAAGCTTGCATTATGAAATATCGAAGTGGAAACGCTCGACAGGCTCTGATGAGAGGTGCTTTTGCATTCGAGTTCCCCGATCGAATTTCTCCCTCTTTTTCTTTGCGCTGCGCTGAAGAGCTCCTTTGTTCCCTATTCGAAGTAGCTACCTTACCTCAAGTGAATTTCCACGCCAGAAATGTCCACGACCTAGTTCTTCTGTCAAACGTTACATCGAGTCCTTCGATCGCGCTTTAAGAAAAAGAGAAATCCAGCGACTTCGTAGCCAACGCCTACGCGTCTATGAAACAATCGGTCGAAAGGTCGAGGCGATCCTTGGACCATGCAATGTTCATAAGCTTATATTGAATAGAATAAAGATAATCATCCTCATATAAATATAAATTAAGCGTCGCGTATTTTATTTCTGTATTAGATAGAAATTTAAGGAGTTAATAACGGAAGATCGGGTGAGATCGGACATCTTAGATTTTTTCAAGATTTTGTTTTCTTGGATGATAAAAATTAAGTGTAATATACATAATACGGAACATTATATCTAAATACCTTCGTAATTATATTTTTCTAAAAACAGCCAAGATTTTTCAATTTTTAAATGTTATTACATTTTCTTTATAAATTAGTGGTATAGGACAAAAAAATAACAAATATTTAAAAAAAGAATATGTTTTTTGGTAGATTCCACTATTATCTGTTTTCTTCTTCCTATTTGTCTGTCTCAAAATTTTGTTGACGTAGGATAAGGAAAGGTCGAACAAAATTGTTTAAAATGTTAGACACATGTAGCATTTTAAAGAATACTTGTACCATACCCAACCGTTATTTTATCGTTATCTTATTGTCTAATACTATCCGAGTGCAATGAAAAACAACATGAAACGAGCAGTTTTAAAACAAGAAAGATTTTGAACCTACATTTTAAAGAATAATAGAGGCTGTTTTATTTGGTGAACTAAAAACGAAATTCGACTTACAAATGATGTGACTAGTTGCAAATAAACTTCGTGTCGGCATAAACAATAGCTACACAACAAAATACAATAACTCGCTAAACAACACTACCTCTGTTCTCAATATGGAGAGGTCCTAGTTTTCATGTGAAAATAGACTTTTCTTGGCTTATCAAACATTGCCACTCGCATTCAAAATTTTAAACTTCTCCTAAGCGTATTCTGAAAAATTGAATATTTCAAGAGTTTGTATTTTTGTAAAAGATTAAATATCATATATCAAGTATACTTTGAAAAAAATGAAGAATATTAGATTTTGAAACAGATTTTTTCTCAATTTTTCATAATCGTTGCAACTTTGTAAGAAAAAATAGTTTATACTTACTTACATATGTGTCATTAGATAAATATTGTTTATGTAATGCCCATAAATAGTTATAAAAATATCTTTTTATTTATGCGTCTTATGTAAATGAATATTATTTACATAACACGCATAAATGAGCATAGATAATTTTTGCACATTCTTTTATTCATATTCCAACGATATTAATATCGATTACGAAATAACGCAATCAACTGCAAAACAAACTAAATGGTTTGAAATATACGAACATACAGGTGTATGTGTAATCGGACGATGTTTGATCATTGATGGTTACCGTTTTCTGTTTCAGCTCCCAGATCCTCGAACGCGGGTACCAACAATTTGCCACCGTTGACGTTTCATCACGTGCACGGTGACAACATCAGGCTGTGCAATGGCGGTACGATCGCTCGAAGGCATGAGAGCTTTTGCAAGGGTGTTACTTTTAGCGCCAGACCCGTGCGAGTAGGCGAGAAGGTGAGATTCCTCGATTGCCGCGACGGCTTTTAATAAATCACTGATCTATCCTGCGCTGACTGGCGCCCGTGTCGATTGTGGGAAACCGACGACTCTCGTTACGCTCGAGAAATCGCTGTTCGCATTCCTCGGAATATTAAAACGGACCGCTGCCGCGACTATGAAAGTAGCGTACTTTTTGTGTAGGTCGTTGTTTTGCATATCGTCCAGGTTTAGAGTTACGAGCCTCTGGCGATGCCCGCGTTCAACAGGCTTATCGCGTGTCTGTCTGTAGTTAGGTAACGCGAGTAGATCGTATAGCCGCGTTGAATGAGTCAAACAATTTTAACGGAATCATCCGGTCTTAGTTTTGGGTATTTAAGCGTGTTTTCAATTTCGTGGCGTATCTAGGATTAGTCGTAAAATTATAATGACGCAACACGTGGGACGAACGTAATCGAGCGTAATTAATTCCCGAAGATGCCTCGAATAAAGCTCCATTTTAGGATCGCTCGACCGGCACCTCTTTCGCAAGGTGGCTTCTTTTCTTTTCTCTTCCTTGTACAAATCACAAGTTGCGTTCTACATGGTCGCTTTTCTGTGAAACGGTGCAGGTCTGCGTGAAGTTCCTGGAGATTTCCGACAATTGGAGCGGCGTGATTCGTTTCGGCTTTACCAGCAACGACCCGATCAATCTCCGAAGCGGTTTGCCAAGGTACGCGTGCCCAGATTTGACGAATAAGCCAGGTTATTGGGCCAAAGCGCTCGCCGAGAGATTTGCAGAGAGAGATACAGTACTCTTCTATTACGTTACGTCGGCTGGTGATGTGCACTTTGGTGTCAATGGCGAGGAGAAGGGTCTCTTCTTCAGCGGCGTCGAGACTCGGGGTCCGCTCTGGGCGATCATCGACGTCTATGGTAACAGCACCGCGATCGAATTTGTCGATCCGAATCGCCAACACTTCAACAACATACGTAGAGGTGCCGAGCACAGTAACGAGGACAATGCGCAGCATAGCAGGCACTCGGCCATGGACGACGCCAGTAACGCCGGTCGGGATGTCGAAAGAATCATCGTGCCGTCTATGCAGAACATGTCGATTCATCACGAACCTGACGTGGAACTACCCGGTCTTAGATTTCAACCCCCTGGCGTCCTTTTCACGCCTCTGCCTTTCCACTCGTGAGTATATCGAGCGTGCTAAATCGTCCACTCGCGTTTCATCCATGATTCAGTTCTAGTTAATGTGTGTCGTGGAAAAGATTCTTATATTCGCTGATTTAAATCGGAATTGAATTATCCGGAGAGAATTGCCTAGGATCAACTTGTCTGCTTTGAAACGCCAGTTGCGCAATATTACGCTTTCTGATTAAAGTTGTCTGATCAAATTAGTAAAGTTTCGCGTTACTCGACGCGATAGTTTTTTTGAGAGAGTAAAGCGAAAGTTGAAAGTCATTGATTTACAATGGAAGCACACAATCATTCGCTGCGCCGCACAGTGATCACGTTTGTGAATTTGAGCGCGCGAAAGTAAAAAATCCAATTGAACGTTTTAAATTTTTTTATTACATATAAATGAGTCTGAATACCTGCAAGTATGAAATCTAAAAATAATTTATTTAAAAATGAGCGAGGAATCATTGGTAACAAACATAATTCTGCAAGGTTGGTGCACTCGCACTTATGCGACTCATGCTCGTCTTCATTTCAGTAAGTGACTTTTTGTTAAATAGTACTTTTTCTTTCTGTTCTTGCTATGGATCCTAATACAAATATAAGTAAGTAAGCAATATATAATCTAAAACTAATAAAAATTTTTTTAGAATTTTTAAAAATATTGCTATTTCTTTTTATATTTTGCAAAGTTTGGTAAAGGAGAAAACTCAGAATTGACGTGAATTGGTCAAGTTATTGCATAGAATTATTAAATTATTTCCTTATAATTGTTTTACATTAAATTTAGCTGCAACTATTTAATTAATTTTAGATTTTGTGCTCATTCTTAGCTTTGACATGCGGAGTACGATGAGAAGCATTATTTTGCGTTTGGCGGGATGAACCAAACATTAATAAAAAAACTGACGCAATTATGAACTTTTTGATGCAGAGAAGTGATTTTTCTGACCACAATGAGGACTCTAATTAGTTTCATTTTTTATATTAATTATTTTTCAATATTTCCTTAAACATTTACAAACTATTCATTTAAATTAGTTTTCTATCCTTTCGTAAGGTTTTCCAAGCATCAATTACATGTTTTATCAAATAAAATAATTTCGCTCGCTCAAATTGACAAAAGTGACCACTGTGTGCCGTTCAGTCGCACAGAACTAATTTGTCGTCCGCTTTTCACGGTTTCCCAAGACGCCCGTCATTAAGCGAACGAGTGCCGCCGAGGTTAATCGCTTCCTCATTTTCTTTCTCCGCAGGACTCGGGGTAGGAACATCCGCTTCAGCAACCAGCAGTGCGTGGCGACGCGCACGGACACGGAGTTCTGTCACGGCTACGCGTTCACGAGTCGGCCGTTGTTGTTGGGAGAGCGATTGGTCGTGCAGATTCTCTCTACGGAACCTATGTATGTTGGCGCTTTAGCCCTAGGCTTGACTTCGTGCGACCCGGCGCGGCTAACGGCAGAGGATTTACCGGATGATAGCGACCTGCTGTTAGATCGTCCTGAATATTGGGTGGTCTCCAAAGACGTGGCGTCGAGTCCGCAGCCGGGTGACGAAATTGCCTTCACGGTCACGCATTACGGCGAGGTGCAGATGAGCAAGAATGGTGGCGCGCCCAACGTTGTCATGCACGTCGATCAGAGCCTTCAATTGTGGGCGTTCGTGGATGCCTATGGAAGCACTCAACGTGTCAGAATGTTAGCCAGTAGACCGACCTCACCGCCCCGGCAACGTCCGAGCAATCCTTC